CAGGGGCAGGGACGGGCTGATGTCTGTTGATGATGAGACTACTCAGAGCCTTTATTGTCTATGAACTTCTGTGACTACCAATGATAGGACTGAAACAGACGCCAGCCCATTTCCTGCTGTTGTTGTCTCTCCTCTGCTGTTGCAGCTGTTGTTCTTGTTTGGATTTTTTAAAATTATAATTGCTTCGGCTTTTTAGTTCATGTTGTTTTAATTTTTCGTTGCTGTTGTTTTCTGCTGTTGTTGTTGTTGTTGTTGTTTGTTTGTTTTTGTTATCTTTGTTTGAGTTCTCGTCCCTGCTGTTTTGATTTTTCTTGCTGTTGTTGTTGTTGTTGTTGTTGTTGTTGTTGTTGTTACTGTGCGTGATTGTGGCGGATGGTTGAATGGCGCCTCTAAAAAAAAAAAAAAGAAGATTATTTGGTTAAAATTTGATTTTATCCGCCGCTTATACACTTTTGGGTGTCGGGTAAAAAAAATGTAATTAAACTTTTAAAAATAATGAGTGGGGGGATGGGGGTGGGTGGCTGGAGGGGTTTCTTAATTGTAAAGTTTAAAAAGTAATAAAGAAAGAAAAAAACAACCCCACCAAACAATGGAATATTCAATTGTAATGTGTGTCTTGTCTGTGGGCAGATCTGTGACTTTGGTCTGGCCCGCATCATGGAGCCGGACGAGAGCGTGGCCATGACGCAGGAGGTGGTCACTCAGTACTACCGGGCACCCGAGATCCTCATGGGCGCCGTCCACTACACCTCGGCCGTTGACCTGTGGTCAGTGGGCTGCATCTTCGCAGAGCTCCTCAGCAGGAGAATCCTGTTCCAGGCCTCCGCGCCAGTACAACAGGTGAGTGGAGTGTGTACCTGTATAAGACATAGTATCACCTCTGTACAAAAAGGTCGCTTCCCATTTCCTTCTCTCGGATCATGTTATGGGATGTTCTGATTTGTGGGCTGTTGTCTGTTGTTAGTAGCTGTGGTTGTCGATGATTGTCAAGGATTGTCAGGGATTGTGAATGTGTTTTGAATGATTGTCAGTGATTGTCAGCGATTGTGAATTGTTGTAAATTTGTTTATGAGGGCGCCACTTGTAGGTCCTACTTCTTTCTTTTCCTTTTGTTCTTTTTGTGTGGTTCCCTTTGTCCTTCCTGTGTGTTTTCAACACAGATCACGTGCCCCTGCCTGTCATGGTCACCCCATCCTTTCTTCTTTCCATTCGGGCTCGGAACGATTGGCTGTGAATCGAATTTGCCCCTTCACGACTGGTTGTACTTAGGATTTTGTGGCGCTCACACTGGGAGGAGGAGGAGAGGAGCAGGAAATGAAGAGGAGGAGGAGATGAAGGAGGATGAAGACATGGAGGAGGGCAAGGAGGAGTTGGAGGACAAGGAGTTGGAGGAGGAGAAGGAGGTGAAGGATGATGAGAAGGAGGAGAAGAAGTTGGAGGAGGATGAAAAGAGGAAGAAAAAGAACAAGAAAAAGAGCAACAACAACAACAACAACAACAACAATTACAACAAGCAGCTCGTGTAACTCCCGACCGAGCTCAAACCGAACACAAAAAAGAGAAAGAGGAGGAGGAGGAGGAGGAGAGGATGGGGTGATACGGACGGACGGACGGACGGACCAATGCTTATTGCAATAATATCGTCTGTAACAAGCATGTTTCGGGCTGCTGTACATCTGACAGTTGGAATAAAAATGTCCACTGTGTTTATGGAAAGGAAGCAATATATTAATATGTAGTTTAAACGATCATCGTCATGTTTG